GCTGGGGGGCGGCAGCGCTCAGCACGGCTCCTCGGTCCGCGAGGAGCACGCGGTGTGTCAACGGCCGGTTCGGGCCCCACGGCAGACACTTAGGGCATGGATCTGTATTTTCTGAAATGACGTGGCATTCAGTAATATTTCATATCGATGTCCGGATGGAGACCGGTGACGAGTGGTGTCCCTCAGGGGTCCGCGCTGGGACCGGTGCTGTTTAATGTTTTCATCAATGACTTAGACAGCGAGATCGAGTGCACCCTCAGCAAGTTTGCGGATGACACCAATTTTCTTTTATCAGGTTACGAAAGAGCAGTGGGATATGATGGAAGCAATGATTAGAAAAACAAAAGGCTCTTAAAGTATGTAACTATGGTGGAGATTTTTGGAAATGAACCACTACTTCTTCATGAAAATTTTGAAATAACCAATTGAGAAATCGCCTTCAAAATCTTTTGTATGCTGATGTCAACAAAATATTGTTAAAATTTCATATTTTGAATGTAGTATGTATATTTCGTCCAGAGGAGGGCCACAAAAATGATCCGAGGGCTGGAGCACCTCTGCTATGAGGACAGGCTGAGAGAGTTGGGCTTGTTCAGCCTGGAGAAGAGAAGGCTGCGGGGAGACCTGATTGCGGCCTTTCAGTACCTAAAGGGGGCCTATAGGAAAGATGGGGAAAATCTTTTTAGTAGGGCCAGCTGTGACAGGACAAGGGGTAATGGTTTTAAACTAAACCAGGGTAGGTTTAGACTAGATATAAGGAAGAAATTCTTTACAATGAGGGTGGTGAAACACTGGAAGAGGTTGCCCAGAGAGGTAGTGGAGGCCCCATCCCTGGAAACATTCAAGGCCAGGTTGGACGGGGCTCTGAGCAACCTGATCTGGTTAAAGGTGTCCCTGCTCCTGCAGGGGGGTTGGACTAGATGACCTCTAGGGGTCCCTTCCAACCCAAAACATTCTATGATTCTATATCGCTGTCGAGTAAGGATGGGTGGTGCCGTGAGGTTGCTGTGCTTCCGTAAGCAGAGGCTTCAGGTGGTTTTGAGTGCAAATGGACGGTGTGGCCACAGACGCAGTGAGATCCTACTCGCCCCTCAGGCTGGGTGTACACTGATGTTTTACAACAGTAATTTAGAAACAACCTGGAGGACTCCTGCAAGCACAGCTTTAAATAAAAACACCTCCGCAGCCCTCGTGGGCTGAAGGCTGGCGGGGCGCTCCACAGAGAGACACACACAAACCAGGCAGCATTTTCTTCTGCCCTCGCTGCTGCTTCTTGGGCGCTGTGGACGTAGCTTTTGCAGTAACCACAGCACGGGTGGTGAAGTTACAAAAACAACAGTAAAATTACCTCTAGGTAAAGTGATTTTTTGTCTCCAACAAGCAAGCGAGCGTTCATATTTAAAAAGGCATTAGATTCTTTGGGGAATGTAACGTAACCTCCGGATCTCTGCAGGTTTGATATTCAAAATGTGACAGGGTAGCAGTGAGAACGGGATGTTTCTCCTGTTGTAGAACCGAGTTCGTTTTCTTCTTTAATTACATATTGCATTTCTGCTTGTTCAGATGCAGCCTTTGCATATTCTGATGCAGCTCTACAGGAGTCGGTCTGTTTTCAATACCCTACAAAAAAACCCATCATGATGCCTCAACCAAAACCTTAAGAATTACAAAAATTGTGCCTCCGCATGTTCACAGGAGCAACACGCGAGCAGAGAAAGCCCCCAGTCAGGGTATTCAACCTTTTTTTTTTTTCCCCCTCTGACAAGAGCCCCCAGTCTATTTCATTGAATCCCTGTTTTCCCCGCGCTCTTAGGTAATACTCGCTCATCCTATACTTTCCCGTCATAACTTTCCTGCTGTCAAAAGGCAAGTTTGCAAGAATTCCAGGCTGTGTAAGAGCTATTGTCGCCCGTGGCCACAGCAGCAGCACCCGCTTGCTTTAGAAGCTGGCACAATTTTTGCATTCATTCTAAGAATGTAGTTTCTTGTAAGCACATTGTCTCACCTGCGTGTCAGGAACAGAGTGATCTGTTGCGCTGGCCCAGCTGGCCTCCTCCAGCACTGGCATTTGGTTACTGCCTGCAGCATACAATTAACTGCTTTTCACTATTCATGTCTTCCTTGCCTCTTTTTAAAAAAAAAAAAGAAATAAAAAAAAAATTACTGCTCTACAATAGCTGTGACAACAAAAGTTCAAAGCAACAGAGCAGAATTATAGCTGTGGTATCGGGATACAGAAAGTAGGATTTTAAACTTGGTTTTAGCAAGCTTTCTTCTGGATCATACATGGTTTGCCTGTCAGTCTGCATTTTTACTGGATCAGCCTCATCTTTCTCTCACAGGTAGCAGGAAGCCAGCAAACCTTGGCTCTGGTTACTTGACAGAAACGCAGTTACACATTCATAACTCATCTAGCTCACGCAAGGCAATTGCACGGAGGCAGTAGAAGTAATAAATATAACAAAAATTCTGCAGGTTTCACCAGTAAAGCTTTCCAGTGCAGATGTGGCCTTAGTCCAAAATACTTCTAATGATATTTAGGGATATAAAACTTTCAAAAACTGCAATTAGTTGGGGTTTTTTTTCCCTTTAACTTGCATATTTGTTCAGTAAGGTTGCAACAACCACTGCAGTTCTCAAGGATCTCTCTGCTCTTTGGCTCCATCAGAGACCAGACACTCAAACAGCACTAAGGGAAAATTAAAGTGTCAGCTGAGGAGTTGCAAAGCAGCCCCAGAGTAGGTATCTGACACATTAAAGAGCATAAACATGTCCTGCAATGAACCTGGGTGAAGGGAACCTAATATTCATTACCATGACGGGCTGTATTTGAGTAACACTTGCAAGGTCAGCGATGAAATGTGTAGAAGTAACAAACAAAAGTTGCTTTGGTTTGGTTTTTTGAGCAGCTTAAGACAAAAGCAACTGCCAAAGCCCAGCGATGCTTTTTGGAGAGACTTTCCGAGTACATAGTGACAGGTGGCGTTTCGTTCTGTTGTTTTTTTATGCAGATAGTTCATGCATAGCAAGGTTGAAGTGTATATTGAGAGGGAGAATTTGCATCTCCTGTAGCAGTGAAGCAAGGTTTCACAAACTACAATTCTGACATGTAATTATTTACAGAAATAAAAGACACCTGCTACTCCAACTTGTTTCCAATCATTATTTACGTAGACCTGGAGCTCTTGTTATCCACCAGTTGAGTAGAAAGGACACAGTCACCAGGCACAGTGGGTGGCAGCCTTCGTGTGCTAGGAAGACAGAATTGTCCAAACAGCATAATTGCAGCTGAAAGAAGTATGCTGCTTTGGATCCATTATTATTTAAAGTAATCAAGACAGTCATCAGAGAAGCAGCACCTGCTCCATGCAACACATACCTTAAGCCCTTCTTCCTCTTCACCACATGCTCCCATTAATTCTAGGTCTCTAGATTCAAATTGTGAGTAGTTCTAAGAACACATTTATTTCTTCCTGTTTCCTGGTTAATCCTTTTTGGAGAATTGAGCAGAATGGCCTACAGGAACAACCCAGCTGAAGTCTGGTAAATAACCAGGCAGCCCTTCTTACCCCTTTTTTAGTTTGCAGATAGAAAAAGGGGCTTTCTTCAAGGCGGTGCAAAATTGTACAGTACAGCTGCTTTTAACTCTGGGCAGGAGAGCAAGGGTAAGAAGGTAGAGGTCAGATAAGGGTCCCAGATCAGCACAGTAAAAACTGCCGAGTTCTCTTCTACCAGAGATCACTACAGGATTGTAGATATGGTCTTGAAGGCCAAGGGAAAGCACCTGCTCAGCGAAGCTCAGGATTGCTCAGATGTGTTGAAGGTCCTCTTCATGGCCAATCTGCAAAGCTCGTTGCACAGCCTTGTTAAAAGTGGGAGAACTGCACGCTTATTTTTCCCTAAAAGGCACAAATACTATTCAACCACTTGGCTGATTTTTTTTTTTGCAAAGCTGTGACAGACAAGTGGATGAACACATGCAGACACACGAACTTCCCAGCGAAACGAACAGCTTCAGAAGCGGAAAGGCGACTGCTCGCTGCCAGCCTGCCTCAGGAGCTGCACCAGGCCAGACCAAGAGTCTCCAGGCAGTAATTTGCAAGGGCTTTTAGAAATTACAGAGTTTGAAACCTCAGCAGCTGGCTGGTTTTCTATTGATTTTTTTTTTTTGCATTATTTTGCTCAACTTTTCAATGGTTTTACCTTTTCTTTCCCCCCCCATTTGCAAATGCACTGAATTAAAATGTTTCACTTCTACAAATTGCATCTGTGTTTTCATTATATGTACCCGTCTCAAAGACACCTGCTAAGTATGTATTTGGAAATGGCATTTTAACTGTTTAATAATGCTTTCTGGGTGGAATGTCTACATACCTAGTGCTCCTGGCTGAAATCAGTAGTACTTTGAGAAGAGGTAAAGGAGAACTGTGTTTGCTTTCCATCAGCTCAATGGTTTTTCCTCAGAGGTTGTACACAGGTCCTGTGCTTTTCTCCTCAGAGATCTCTGTCGCAGGACGTCTCCAAAATGCCTGCCTTTGGTTGGCAACAGTCAGGCTGGCTCTATGCTCAGTGAAAGACTAAGATCTGACAATAGTACAGTGTAAGGGAAGCCTTACCTTGTAAGGGAACCATGGGAGTTCCTTTCCCTTTGCCTTGTAAATAAAAATAGTGCAAACGCACGCATCTTGTGTGTGGCATCTGCAAAAGCAGCCGTGCTCCTGCGGGAAGGTTTGCTATGCTAGCACCTCTCCTTTCCCACACACTACTATGGAAAACAGAGCTGCATTCCTGAACCAAGGACACACTTGAAGTTCAGCCTAGGTTCAAAACACATACAAAAAAACCTCCATTTCCTCCAGCCTTGCTCTGAGATAAGAGGACTTGAACAGCATGTTTACCTGAACGCATCCAAGCGAGCCAGATGGAGAACGGCTCCAGCCTGGAAGTCACACAGTACTTTTAGCATAACACCACGTACAAGTTAAATTCAGTTTATCAAGCAGAACTATCTGCCATAACACAGCTGAGGGATTACAGCTGCCTTGCATCTTTCTGTCCTTGTCAGCAAAGAAAATCCTTCAGAAAAGCACTTTCACACCCCAGTGGGAATTTTAAGGGGAGGAGAAGAAATCCTCACCACTGTGACCTCAAAGCAGCCGTTTTAAAAACAAAGTACAGATAACCAATGGTATTTCAGAACTGCTAGCGAAGGACTGTTTCTACAAGCACAGATAATGTATCACCTGTAAGGAGATCCCCCCAGTGGAAGCATGCCAACAGAAGATACATGTCACTTCTTAGAAGAAATTTAAACCTGGCTGGTGAAGTTCAGAGTTTGTTTTGGCTTAATTATGAACTGAGCACAGATTTATGCAAACTGGATTTAAGTAAAATAGGTAACATTAATGGAAGGCTATCAAATACAAACTGGGGGTGGAGTGCCAGACTTCAGCTTTGCTTACCTCAGCTGTAAACTCTTATGTCAAATAGCCTTGGATAGATAAACAACTGAACGGAGGGATTGCATTCCAGTTTTAACTGCTCTGTTTAGACTGATGAGGGTACTGTTACTCATTAAAAGACATTGCAATGGTTCTACATCCAGTGGCAGCGCTGCATGAAGTAAGTTTAGCAGACCCCAAACCTCATCTGCTCAGTATCATTCCTTTCCTTGTGCTAGCATAGCTTGCTCAAGCATACAGAACCTGGATTGGGGAATAAAACCACCCCAAATTTAACTGCCATGGGCGGATTGGTTATTGTACTTCTAGTCCAAGTATCTAACACCGAGAAATACAGGATCTTTTAAGGGTTGCTGAATTACAAATCCTATGGATTTGTGCCCATAAATCCATTGCAGGCCCTATCCATCATAGGCAAAAGCTTAGGCGCTCTGACAGCTGAGCTCACATATTTAATGATAGCTTATTAACTCTCACCTAACAGCTCCGCCCTCTCCAGGAGGAAGCCCTTCTCGTGGCAGAATGGCCTCAGCTGCTCCCTTCCACTAGGTTACAATGCACTAAATACAAACTCACAAGATGACAAAACGCAAACTGAGGAGTTGGACATGACCCAAGCTATACTGTAAACTCTCTACAAGAGTTCGATTTAATCTCCAAAGAGGCCTTCATCCTTTTAGCAAGGCATAACACCCTCCCCCCTGAAAATTAACAAAGCACCTTAAAATGAACGAAAAAAAGGACTACTGAACCCACATATTCCTTTTATGATGAAACTGACAACAGCAAAAGCAGACTAACAGGGATTTTTAAAGTCTTTATTCTTTTGCATGAAGACAAAATGCCGAAAATGTAACACATTCCCTTATTTACATTCATCGTAAGTCACATGGAAGCATGCACACTGGAACAACGAGGTTCTAAATATTACTTCTTAAAAAGAGTCCTGTACAGACGTGTTCCGTGTATGCACACACCCCATGCTCTGTGGTGTGTGACTGAGCCACCCTTGTGCTGGGACAGAACCTAACCCCATGCCTGAGCATGCCTGGAAATAACCTTTTGAAGGGACTGGGAGCAGTTTTTGGGAAGGAGCTTCCTTCCACTTCAGCAGCACAATGGGCTTTTGGCCCTGCGGGTGCACTGCCAGCCCCACAGCAAGGCTGCCAGGTGTCATCCCTAGCATTGCCACAGTTCTGCTGTGGCCTTGCCAAGAGCCAGGCTCAACTACCACAGAGAGAATTCCCAGCACTAACAGACATTCAGATCCCAGTTACATGCTACATAAAATGCCACAAGGACTGTAAAAAACCACCCCAAAACTTCTAACTGGCACATGAATCTGGTCTAAACTCCACTGCAGCCGCAGCCCTCACTTTGACCTTCTGAGCACAGTGCTAGAGAGCAAAACAAAGGAAAGCTGATCTCAACACCGTGACAATCCTTAGCCTGGACACCACATACCCATGAGCAGCTCCAAACCTGCAAATACTGCTGCTCACCTCCAATTCCTGTAGGAACAGCAGGCACTGAACTCATCCTCTTATACTCTCAGCAGTAGATTGGCTCTTTGGGTCAGGCTGCAACATACATAAAAGTAAAATCCAGGTATTTAGGCTGTGTTGCTGTTTGAACAGTCACTCATCCCCATAAACAGAGGGAGCTGATGGTGATAAACCACCTGCCTTTCTCTTCTCTCACTAGGCTTAAGCAAATGCTAGCTTAATGTATCTCAGAGAACGGTGAATAAGCCAAATGGATCATCACCCACTTCAAAAGCTAAGAACAGTTTGTCTTTAACAACTGGAGAAAGGTTGGAATTATCTACATTATTTTGAAGCAGTTCTTCAGGTTGGATGTATGATTCTGGTCCAGTAGAGGAAACAGGGTTTAACGCCTTGGTTTAAGGGGTGGCATTCTTCAGTCTGACTCAACATTGGACCAATTCACCAGCACATTAGCGCACTCTAAGTAGTGTGATCTCCAAATGGCAACAGCAGGATCCATCAACTGAAGTAGCCTTTACAGTATGATGCACATGGCATCTGCGAACGCAGGTAAAGCAGAAACATTCTCACAAAAGCTTTAAGGAGCATCCGTCATCATCGCAGCACAGACTTAATGAAATCTGAAGTTTTACACTTGAGGCAGAGCTTGCAGAAAACAGCCTAACCTTAAAGATCTGAAGAAACCTAAAAAAAAAAGGTAGATAACGTTTTCTAAATATGATCTATCTGGTCATTAACAGCAAAACATTTACTCGCTTCAGCTCTAGTATTACCATAGCAGTAAATGGAACACAGTACTGAATATGGTGAGCTTAAAGCCCAGTATAAAAGACAGCCATACTGTCCATACTACAGAAACTGTTACAGATGGTGTAACGCTTTGAGAACTTAAGTTATTGGAAAACCAAGGAGATTACAACATACCCTATACTGCTGAAGTATTTGTCAAAGAGAAAATGAAGCAGTTCAGCCTATGTTTCCTAACCCTCACATCATTTTCACCTAAATATTGTTATTAATTCATAAAATGCATTTTTCTCTCAATTCTAATTAACCTGCCATGTCTTAAGTGTCCTACTAAGTTTTTTTTCCTTTAAAGAGCAACCAGATATACCCAAAATTATAGACCCTTAACTGGCCTTCAAACAGCCACATGTATTTTTTTTCCTGTTTAAGACAGAAATTTTCTTTTAGCAAAAAGGAGGGCAGTGTGGAATTCTACCATGTAACACACGATCTGGTTTTCAAGCAACATTCACTTTCCACAGGTGAAGTTTCCCCCATTTGAGAGTTAGAGCTCATCACACCTAAAAAATCATGATTAAAGGCAGCGTCTCTCTCTCAGTATTGATCTTTGCATCCCAGGAAACCAACGTTTTGCTCCATAGAGAAGATACTTAATTCACTTTCTACACTTTACATGTCACAAAGGTAGTTTTTCGATTAGAATGAATGATTATGAACCCACTAAATGTATACACTCCTTATTAGACTTATTTACAACAAAGACAACTGCAAAGCAGCTAAATATCAACTGACTATCCAAAAGACCAGAACAGAATAAAATCATTCAGGTTGGAAAAGACCTTTAAGATCATCGAGTTCAACCGTTAACCTAACCCTGCCATCCCACCGTTAAACCATGTCCATAAGCGCCACATCTACACACCTTTTAAATACCGTCAGGGACGGGGACTCAACCACTTCCCTGGGCAGCCCATTCCAATGTTTGACAACACTTCTGGGGAAGACATTTTTCCTAATACTCAATCTAAACCTCCCATGGAGCAACTTTAGGCCATTTCCCCTTGTCCTATCACCTGTTACCTGGGAGAAGAGACCGACCCTCACCTCACTACACCCTCCTTTCAGGTAGTTATAGAGGGCAGTAAGGTCTCCCCTCAGCCTCCTTTTCTCCAGGCTGAACACCTCCAATGCCCTCAGCTGCTCCCCATCAGACTTGTGCTCCAGACCTCCCACCAGTGTTGTTGCCCTTCTCTGGACATTCTCCAGCCCCTCAATGTCCTTCTTCTAGTGAAGGGCCCAAAACTGACCACAGCATTTGAGGTGCGACCTCACCAGTGCCGAGCACAGGGGCACAATCACTTCCCTACTCCTGCTGGCCACACTATTTCTGATACAAGCCAGAACGCTACTGGCTTTCTTGGTCACCTGGGCACACTGATGGCTCATATTCAGCCGGCTGTCAACCAACACCCCCAGGCCTTTTTCTGCTGGGCATCTTTCCAACCACTCTTCCCCAAGCCTGTAGCGTTGCATGGGGTTGTTGTGACCCCAGTGCAGGACCCAGCACTTGGCCTTGTTGAACCTCATACCACTGGCCTCAGCCCATCGGCCCAGCCTGTCCAGGTCCCTCTGTAGAGCCTTCCTACCCTCAAGCACATCAACACTCCTGCCCAACTTGGTGTCATCTGCAAACCTGCTGAGGGTGCTCTTGATCCCCTCGTCCCGATCACTGATAAAGTTATTTAACAGAACTGGCCCCAATACTGAGCCAGTACAGTGAAAAAGACTCTCTTAACTGTGATGTATAGAGTCATGCTTCTTTTACCTGCATGTTTCACCTTATGTTGATTGCACATATGCTGACTGTAAATCTCTCCCACTTTCAGTGCAGATCTTATGCGACTGCACCAGTTTTCCAAGGGTGATCTCAGTCTATGTCCCTATTCTTCAAATCATTTTCTGTCACAGGAGAAAGTCCTTCTTCTTTGATACTTCTATATACAAAGAGAGACTAGATATTTTCAAATATTGTATTAGCACTTTAGAAAAGTGAATCCATATTAAGTCTTATTCATGCTCAAAGATTTTAAATAAAAAAAAAAAAATCAATAGTCAATAGAAAAAACCAACATTAGCACAATTTAAAAATTCTACCTGCCTTTTCTTCATATTGCTAGAATACAAACCCTAAGTAGTGTAAAACTAATTGTGTGCCATATTCTTAATGAGTTTTATTATGCAAAATATTCCAAGATGACTGTTAAACAGACATTTATATTCTAGTCCAGAATATTTCAGAGTCTGTTTTAAATGTAGAACAAAGCCAAACAAATTACACAAAAGACTACCTGATAATAAAAGCTGTTTGACTCAAGATACTACCCATCTTATTAATGCACATCAGGAATACAGTGCAAGATAAACTTTTCATTGAAATCTACTGCTGCAAATGAGAAGTTGTGACTTCATCACAAAAAATATTAAGAGGCAGAAAAGCTGCTACCAAAATAATTAAAACAACCTGGCACTTTTCATTTGGGTGATAAAACATGTTTTCTGGCTGAATGGTTAAGTTTTTCCATTTACCAAGTCTGAATTATTAGAACTTTTAATTAATGTGCTGCATTAAATACAAGAGGATGGGATAAACTATTAATATAATAAAGGAATGTAAAGAGAAACTGATCTTCTTGAACTGAACGGTTGGATTCTGCAGAACAATACTGCACCTAGGCTAATAAAAGAATGAGTAAAATAAATATTCAGCATGAACTCACCTTGGTATTTAAATTTTCTTCCTCATTATTCTATCTTCAACACTTGCACTTCCCCATTCCCTTTCAGGGTATTCTGGCTGATGCCCTTCCAATAGACCACTACACAGTTTAAGCCTGCGAATAAAAAAAAAAAAAACCCAAAGACTAAGTGGCTTTATTACGGTAACCTTTTTAGACTAAATACAGCTACAACCTGCTATTTACTCTAATACAGACCATAATATGAGAATTTAAGGAAAGAATGTTACCACACAACATATAAATATTGGCCAACACATCTCTAAGAAGAGTAAAAAAAAAACTAAAAAAAAAAAAATCCATGTTCATAATAAAAGTTTGGATTGAAATATAGCAATAAGGCAACCACACTTTTAACTTAATACACAAAAAAAAAATAGTCCCTGACTGACAAGCTGCACTTTATACCTCTCCAGCCTGCAGTCTGTATCTCTGCAAGTTTTGCTGTCAGGCAGATAGGACTTGGTTTTTTTCTGTTTCTGATCTTTCCATCCTGAAGAACAACTGGCTGGAATTGGGTCACTGCATAAAAACAAATAACTATCATTGTTGTCAGCTACAAAACAACTTAATCTCTCAGGAGACAGAGAAGCAGCTTTCAGCTCGTAGGCTTAGCGAATGAGAGGCTAGTAACAACCACAGGGACCAATTCTGTAAAATGCCATCGCTTTCCATAAGGCAAAGAGGGTGAAAGGGGTTCAGAATCTTCCAGCATTACTTAATGGCAGAAGCAGCAGAAAGCGATAGATGGAGAGCCAGACTGGGAAAAGCCAAGCAAACTCAAAGAGCAAAAAGAACAATCAAAATACACCACATGCCAGAGGAAGTGTAAGGAGGGGGATAAAAAAAAAAAAAAAAAAAAAAAAAAAAAAAAAGTTGTATTCAACAGTGAAGGAAAAGGAAGATAAAAAAACCAAAGGCACCTCCACAGCACAAGCAATAAACAGAAAGAACATCATAATCATCAAGGTATTTACCTTGTTATTTCTATTCCATGTTGCGCTGTCATTACTTCATCATTTTCACCAAAGGCTTCCCACTCTGAGCACTTTGAAAAAGCCTCTTGATGGCCTGATTCAGTAAGACTAGAAAGAAAGTGAAAAGGTTTGAAACTATGGACCTTTGTATCACTGTTCCTCTTAATTCTTCTGAAGATAAGGGGGCTAAGTAGAGAGAAAAAAAACACACCTGTATAAACATTTTTACTAAGGTAGTGTGAAAAGTCTACTAAACCCCCAAAAACTTAAATCATTGTTCCAGTTTTCTTGTGATTCTGACAAAACTTTTGTACTGAGTTACACCATGCTCTCCTCTATATAGCCTATCATTTCTCATTTATAGGTAGACTTCTCACGCAGCAGCTAGGAAGGGGGGCAAAAAGGAGATATGATTAAGACCAATCACTAGAGTAGTGGTTTAACTCCAGAACAACTTAGAATGAAGAAGGTGTCAGCCTGAAAAACTCTACCCTTCTGTTATCCATTTTTGCACATTAACTTCACTCTGTCCCTGTCCTAGGCTGGGTGACCTAGGACACTAGACAATTCCCTGTTGTTCCAACAAGCATTTTCTTCCATACCATCTTTTTGTAAGGCAGGCAAAAGCTTAATCAAAATACATGAAGCTTCTTTCACGTCCCTTCATGAACACATATTCTCTGTAATACCTGTAGCAAATCTAACATGGTAATAATTAAACAGGCAGCGAGTTTCAGTATTCACTGGCAGACTTAACGACTGCACATTGGACTCCATTCCTTTACCATAACATTCATCAACTTGTACACACTTTGAGCACCAAAAAGCAGAATGCAGTGCATGCAAGAGGCATGGAAATAACTATGGCAGACACATAACAATTTCAGAATTACAACCTCTGAAGCAGAAATCAGGTTCCACGACAAATCAAGACCAACACATTAGTGTTGCCTAAATCTACACACAAAACCTGTTGGGTCTTCTGATGCTGACGTTTCTTCACCTCTGCAGTGGACCACTGTAAATATTTGCTATCATACAACACAACTATTCTGGCATGATTTCTTTTGCTCATTAAATTGCACACACATTTAGATAAAATTAAAGCTATTAACAAATGGAGGGATAAATACCAGTCATTCCAAAAGTCAGTTCATAATATCAATGAATCTCCATACAGAGAACCATTTCATACCTTTCCAGTGTGTGGTACATATGCACATAATGGTTTTTGCTCTTTGAAACCACAGAGGAGTCAGAATTGTTTCTTTTTCTGCGTTTCCATACTGGAGAAGAATCAGGAGAACAGGAACTACAAAAAGAAGACATGGATTTTACACACATAACATTTTTCATCTCTGTTTAAATGCTTATCAGAGTTCTGCAAAATAATGGCACATGCTACACAGGAAGACTTTTTTTGAGGTATGATTCCTCAGTCACAACAGAGGAACACAGAAAATGGCTCACATTTTGGTAACCACTCCATTGTATTTTTGGAAAGTGAACTGAGTCACAATCGCATGAGGAACTTGGAAGCAGAACCACTTTCAGCTCCACAAATCGAGACACCTGAGTAAATAGGGAAGCGCACGAGGTGCTTCACTGTTAAAGTCTCCCTGCTGTTCTGCAGACAGGCGTAACAATTAAGGATGGTCACACTTGCTCCTGAAAAAGGTATCCTGCTTTCAGCACTTGCCAAGAGTGGTTAAAGAAATCTTGGTACTTGGTACTCGACTGTATAAACAGAGAAGCTGAAGAAACACTGCCTTTTTCTGCTGTTAAGCATGCAATTCTGTAATGCTGGTCATTTTCCACATTCAACACTCTGTACCAGTGGTGGATTACATTCAACAACAGAAGTGCCAAACTCCAAATCTGAGCTTTACCTGCCCTCCCTCATTAAACATTTCCAAAAAAACCCCCAAACAACCCAGCATCAATGTGTATCAAATTATTTCTATAAGTTAACCACAAAAGTTTTCTCTCATACCTCTCTGGTGTGTAGTCAGTCTGTCTGCATTCATCTTCACACTCATTTTTCTTCTGCTTTTCGTCAAATACAAGGGAGCTAGAAACATCCTGATCTTTGCAGAACCATTCCTGGGAACTGCCTGAGGGTTCTGTACTACTAAAAACAGAAAAGACAAAAAAACCCCAAAACCACAGATGGATTTAAAATACTAACCATCTAGCTTACCACTCCAAGCAGAAGACAGTTAAGCCGCAGTAATAATTAACAGTTCATCTCATATGACATCCAAATGGTACAAACAACTGCAACCTCCATCGCAAGTCAATTACAACACAGCTAAAACCATTTACACAATGCAGATACAGAGCTAATAGATTTCCACTCTTTTTCTCCCAGTTTACTAGTTCCAACCTCAGAAAGTATTAGGTGGTGTCAGTTAGTAGAGCTAGCCCTGTTACAGAAATTCAATGTTCTGGAAATATATATAAAAAATTCCATCTCGAACACAGTTGCCGCTCTCCTGCAGAGAGCACAAAAATCTCTCTCTAACCTTCTTACACTTCTCAAACCCTCTGAGATATTGTATAGCAGGAGAAAGGTGGTCCTGCTGACATCAGAAAAAGATGGAAAGGTTATCAAGGTCAAGGACCAGTAATCACTGAATTTCTGCTTGTGTCTATCCCTTTCTAGAAAAATAATTTTACCTTACGCTGACCAGTGTAAACACACTGGGGAAGGGAGTGTACTACTGTAGACAGACCAAAAGCCTTCTTCCCCAAAGTGCCTTACTGGAGATTAATAGAGACTAAATAATGGGAATATCTTGGAAGACTAGCAGAATTCAAAAGGAAAACAAGGCATTCAAGGAGACTTGCATTTCTAAACCTGATCTCTTGCTCCCAGTTTGGAATGCTCTGGAGGAAATAGAGTCCTCCTGTGAAGCAAGAGACAGGTGCTGACTTAATTCACCCATACACACACTGGCTGCAGATCCCAGGTTTCTTCAGTAGGAGGATCCCAGGCATGCAGTGCTATCTTCCACAGCCTGATCTGCTGGTCCCAGGATCTACGGCTGTACTTCTTAAATTTGTTGGGAGTTCTAGGATGAACTCCTGGTATTCGCTGATTCCTGTAAATACACAGTAACATTTATATTTCAGGACATGATTTTCATTCTTAAAAAAAAATAAATCCTCAGTCCATCAGATCACGCAAGCATCAGTAGCCTAATTAATTTAAATTTTCATATTTTTAAACACTTAAGTGAAATGGGTGTCTTCTAAAAAGTTGCCAAAAACAGACCACACAAACAAAAACTAACAATAGCGTGTTGAGTCAGACCAGAGGTTCATCCAGTGCAGCACTCTGACAGCTGCCAAAAGCAGATCCCTACTGCCCATGGACAAATATGAAACAGAAGCACAAATCATACCCCTTCAACAGTATCCTGAGTTGGGTGCAGTTTCTTTGTAGATAGTATTATTAAGGAGTCTGGCTGGGATGGAGTTAAATTCCTTCATAGCAGTCCCTGTAGTGCTGTGTTTTGGATTTATGGCTAAAGCAGTGCTGACACCACACTAATTTTTGGCTATTGCTGAACAGTGCTTGCAGAGCATAAAGGGTTTCTCTCTTTCCCACTGTGTGGATATTGCATTCCCTGTCCCCTCCTGCAGCCGCTAAGCTGAGGGTGAGCAGGAAGCTGAGAGGGGAAACCGCTGGGACAGCTGACTCAAATTACCCAGAGAGATATTCCATACCATATAACGTCACACTCAGCAATAAAAACCAGGGCAGAGGAAGAAGGAGAGGTGTCTTCCAAAGTGGACATTGCTCAGAGACTTTCAGGGCACCGCTCTGCTTGTGGGAGGTAGTGAGTGATTGCATTACTTGCTTTTTTCCCCCCCCTCTTTCCTTCCTTCACCTATTAAACTGCCCTGATCTCAATCCATCAGTTTTCCCGCTTTTGCTCTTGCTATTCTTTCCCCATCACATGGGGAGAGGGAGGGAGCAAGTAGCTGGGTGGGTACATGGCTGTTGGCAGTGATCAACCCACAAGTATCTTCAGTGAACTTCTATTCCACCACTGTCTATGCATTGTTACAATGGGGACTGCTGTAATTCTAAACAGCGTTTGTCTTTTAGGAGTATAGAAAACAAAGTACCCACACCCTCTGGGTAAAATGTAAATTATATATACGCCTTTCAACTGAATCTACACAGGGCAGACACTGTAACAATGCTGTCTGGGATCACCCAGTGGCTGGAAGTCTTTCTCTCAGATGATACCCCAAACTCAGATCCTGCGCGCCACAGGTTACTGGAGAGCCCACTCAAACTGTATCTTCAGTACAAAATAATCCTGTTTATAGTCCTACCATACTGGAGCCAGCTTTGAGCCTGGGTGTGGAGAAAAACATATTACAATAATGTTTTAAATCACACAAAGAACTTTGGTCTCAAGTGGTTCCCCCTACCAGCTTCACAGATCAATGTACTTAGCCGTAACACTTTTTGTAAGATAAACAGATCCCTGCTAAGGAACAATATTATCAACTACCCTGTTAAAATGCCACTCAGAACATTTTTTTGGTTTTTTTTTTGGTTTGGTTTTTTTTACAGTTTATCCCATGTTTTTTCCGAATGTTGATCTCACCCTTTCCTATTCTCCACCTATGATTTAACTGATCACAGCACAGCTATGCAAGTGCCAGGCATCACCGTAAGACTGGCTGCAGTCCCACCACTGATGACAGAGTGACAAAAAAAATTACAATTCACAAAGCAGTCCAAGACTCTATGAAGAAGGAAGTTTTACTGAAGATGTGATCGTGATATTATATGTTATCTGTGATCATTTACAATATCTGTTGCTAATTTTTAGTCATCTAGTCTAACCTTTCAAGTTTTGCTCAACAAGCTTAAAGCATCCACTGCACTTGGCTGGCAATTTTCACAACAGACTCACAGACAGAACCCACAGAAAGCTAGCAACTGTAAGTAACGAGCCATATTGAGAGAAACACCTCTAAAAAATAACCCCCAAAACAAACAAAAAAAAAAAACCCCAAGAACACAAATGCATATCCACATATTAGTACAGATCAGCTTCTGAATCTAAAGGGCTCTGCAGTAAGCAGAGGGGGCTGGCTAAGAAATCGTGATTTGAGTGCCACAATTCACAGACTCCGAAGCTCGAAGTGGAATGACAGAGAAAGCAAGAAATCCAGGTTTTGCTTTGTTACTCATGAACCACTGAAGATTGGTTTCCCTTACCAATACTTAAATACAAGGCTTTATTCAGTCCTCCTTCAAAGCTGTGATTTCCTGGCATCAATTAACTTCATACTAGCCTAGCAACACAGTCACCAGAAGTGTCACAGGGAACTGATTAATACAAAATTTAAAGTGTATTTGTTACTAGCAACAGCAACACACAAAGGGAACATTTAGCTTTAAATTTTCCCTAACTGAATTTGTTTGTATGCAGAAAAAAACCTCGTTTCTCTTTAACAAAAATCAATTGATTCACATTTTCTTCACTTACTGTTCACATGATTTTAAGAGAACTAAAGCTGTGTGATGATCTACACACACATCAGGAACAAAGAAGAGTTTACTTGGAAATGTGCAACATAGGGCAACTTACTTTGGAACTTCTTTAATGTATCTGTCATATGCAAGAGTATTCTTTCCAAAATTGATCTGTTTTTGTCTTCTCCTCAGAACCACTTCATCTGTTTCCCTTTCAGCTGGATTAGCAGAATCACTCGAAACAGAACTTAAAAATAAAAAAATAGAATCAAGTTGAAAAGAACCTTAACAGCTTTACAACAAGTTATATAAACACATACTCTAGAACTGCATGTATTCTTACTCTGATAGACAGGAAGCACAACTCTTACTTCACCAGTGTACAGCAGTGAAAGTTGCACTAACCAAATCAATCGCTACGACAAAAAGAGCAGGTTTTGCAAGTTCATGCAATTGCTCAGGTTTGTAACATGTAAAGATACACCTGAGGGCAGCGGTGCTAGAGCTGCCTTACTAGAAGCTTAAAGCTAGTCCTGTAACAAGGAAATCAGATGATACACAATCATTACATGTATGTGTAACAACCTCCTCACATAAATATGAAAAAGCTTAAACCCAAAGCAAAGATGGGTAATACAAAGGAGGCTAGCTTGAATGATCTAATAGCCATTTCTCTCTCCAAGCCTCAATGGCTGGTTTTCATTTTAACTTTCACTACTCCAGTATTTTCTCTTATGGGAAGTTGTAATGAATATGCCAAGTAGGCTGAGAAAGGAAGAGAATCTGAAATGATCATACAAATAGCTTTTGAGATAAGAATTCTCAGTACTACTCTCTCCTTAAGGCTTCCTTCAGGCTTGGTGTGAAACAGCCTGGCTGTGTTTCAAATCTTCATCAATGCATGTAAAGTAGTTGGAGATCATCAGATGGCTACTGCTAAAACCAACACAATAGCTAGTAATTATTCAATACCTACTTCGTCTTTTTTTTATTTGATGTCCTCATTGTTTTGCCTTCTTCAATTCTGCCTTCCCAGTCAAGGCAACTAGAAAGAGGGCTAGAATCTTCTGGTGTTGAAGAGCTGGAAAATAGTGAGAACTCAATATGAACATTTGTTGCTCATAACGTATTTAATGAACAGAAATTTCAATAGCGGACAAAGCCAGCTCCACAACCATAACACCATAAGCATGCCCCTACTCTACTTTAGTTCAAAGTCAAACAAATCAAAACATTTCAGCCCAAGTCACCTTCAGCAGTGATGTAAGATTACCAGTTTTACTTTGCAGGGAAAGAAAATGGTCATGAAGAGAATTTCATGTCAGAACACAGACCTGACCATTTCTTAAAATACTCCCAGCTCAGCCAATGCAAATGCTTCTCTCTACTAACTTCAGGACCTTCTCAATGCTGCTATTCCATCAAAGAGCACAATTCATGAAATTACCTCAGGTCAAAATCATCAGACTCGTCACTGCTCTCTGTCAACAGCTAAGGGCTGTGTAAAGGACAGTGGAGATGCTTAGAAGCAGAAAAATGCTCATCACATCAACAGAACTAACATTTTGTCAGACACCATCATATCCCAATGTATCACTTCAAGAATGTTAACTCTGCTGTGTAAAGCCAGAAAGGTAGTCAGGAAGCTCTTCAATAATCAGTTGGATCACTGATGTTCTCTGCATGAAGAAACACTTACTGGGTTCCTCATTAACTTAAAAAATATAATAAATGAAAACTGTAATATTCTGAAGTGCTGAAAAGTTCTCCTTTCACTCTGTCCATTTCTTTCAATGTTAATGCCCCAATATTTAGTGTAAGTAATACAGAAGTAGATTTCGCTTACAGTCTTACTTTCCCTAAATGGTTTCACATCAACAGATGAGATTGCCATCTATGCTGCCAGTGTCATTTTAACACATGACATAAAGACTCCACACTAAGAAGGAACATAGCTACTCAGCAAGAGAGAAACACAGAATGCTGCTAGCACATCCAGTTTGACTCACAATCATCACATACTGTTAGTAATTTTTATGATAGCATCAAAGACATAGAAAACACTCCTGAATACAAGGTTTTTCCTAAGCTCTTCAAAAGATTCATTTATTAACTGAAGCAATATTAAACACACCATCGGAAATGACATTCACCTTCATATAATGTAATAGTCAGAGAGGTATACGTTATATAAAAAAAGTTTTCACACGCCCTCAGTAAAATATTTCATCTCTTCTAATTTACATTCTACTCAGTTTTCTGCACATATCCAAGCACTCACCACTCTTTGTAGTTCCTGTCAGACATTAAGATACCAGTCTCAACCACTTCCTCCACCTGACGTCTTTAGTCTAGAGTATCCAAAAGCAAAGCAAAATACTCCTAGAACTACCTACCTATAACATTTTATCTCATCTCAAACTGTCCTTGGTACTGGACTACAAAAAAAAAAAAAAAAAGGTGTTAACTGCAGTACAGCTGAATATACCAGGTACACTGTCAAGTGAAGAGACAAACATCATGGTTTGTCCAGACTTACGCATAAAGATGCATAAGCAAAACAAGAAAAGTAAACAGCATATTGCTTCAGTGGGAGTTTTATACTAATATTGAAGATTTCAGCAATAAAGGGCTTAAACTACTGCCTCAGTATATACCATGCCTCTCTTTCATACTAAATCCTTGCTAATATTATGGCACGTATTTCCATCAGCCAAACTGAATGGTCTACTCTTGCATAATGCAGAGATCATTTGCTAACTCTGTGTTACTGTATTATTACAAAACATTTAATTTCATCATGTCCAAGGTTTTGTTGGATTCCTAAAGAAAAGAGTGCAGCAAACTGAAGATTTAAACAAACTTCACATTCATTCCTTACCTCTCCAGCCATTGGTCTAAATGTCTACATTGATATTCATCAAGCACCAAAGAATCAGAATCGTTCCAGCTTCCACATTCCTGTTCTTGATGCCAGCAGTGTGGATGTTGCACAGAACTAGAAAATAAGAATTTTCATCAGAAATCAAGTCACTGGTAGTCACTGAACATTGCCTATACAAAACAAATATGGACAATCTGAGTATCATCATTTACAGTTGCAAAATGCTGATTTAGCATAGATAAGTGATTTGCGTCAACTTGTTCAGGCAACAGTAACTTAACAAAGGGGTTAGACAATGCAATTGCTGAGGAAAGGTCTCTGACTAATGCAATTAAAATATTAGAATTTTAAAAAGAACCATTAATATTTAGATAACCAAAATTATATCCTTTCTCTATTTGCAAACAAGAAGGGGAAAAAAAAAACAAACCTGAGGACTGTCACCAGTGTTTAGGGAACTGCCAACATGCCAACGTTCATAGGCTGTCCTCTGTCAGCAATGCATTATTTGACATTTATGTACTATTCTACCCAGTACTAAACTCGTGGCAGAAGCAAATAAAGAAACATCACTTCAAGACAGGAGAACAGCATGTCTAAGGAACTTAAAATGTTTATGTGGAGACAATTTTACAGAGGGAATTCTTTACAGGAAATTCTGATTCACACTGCTGCCGAGTCCTCACAAGTAAGTATGGGACAAGGAGCTAGACTGAGGTGCTTGCAACATGCTGGAAGGACAGCCAGGGATTGCTTAAGGATTAAGAGTTATCTGCATTTTCCTCCTCAGTTCTGGCAGCCGTGACATCTTAAATGATCGGTTAGTAACCAAAACAGCATCACAGCATCTACAAACATCAGACTTGGCTTCTGGGCTAAGGACCACACCTGCAGATCAGCCACCACCTGCCTGAGGGAATGGCCCCAGTATTGCAGACTCCACACAGCAAACACACTGTCCTTCTGTACGTGTGAGGAAACAATAAATGTGCTGTTCTGTATGTGTGAGGTCTCTGCACTTTTTAAGATAAGAAGTGAGAGGAAAGGCAGGTTTTTATTTTAACCCTGGATTAACAACCTATGTTTCTTTCCCTTCCTCCTCCACACTGACTGACTTTGGGAATTTCCCACTCCCAAAGGGCTTGAAGTTACTAACACACAGCACAAACAGCTCGCTCCCAGCTGCGGATCTAGGCAAGAGGACACTTTCAACAGAGGCAGTTTTTGCAAAGGCAGCAAACGGATAAAACCTTTCTCTAACCACCCTCAAGGACAATTACTCAATTTAAAGACTTGAAAGAAACAGAAAATAAAATTTAAAAAAAAAAGGGCACAACATCTAGCATGCCTTATGTACAACACTATTTGAAAATCTGAGGAAAAACGCTAACCGAAAATTAATGCCTTTTAGAAATACTCCAGTATTTATCTCCAGGGGTTTGCCCTCCCCGCCCGCCTCAGTGTCAGCCGTAAGGCAAGCCCGGGCACTGCCGGCACCGCTCCCAGCCCAACTCCCTCCCCGCTGCCGTGAGGGACCAAATCACTTTGGTTGGAAAAGACCTTTAAGATCATCGGGTCCAACCGTTAACCTAACGCTGCCATCCCACCACTAAACCATGTCCCTGAGCACCTCGTCTACGCATCTTTTAAATACCTCCAGGCATGGGGACTTGACCACTTCGCTGGGCAGCCGGTTCCAATGCTTGACAACCCTTTTGGATTAATTCAGTCATCCCAGAGTTTTAATTGTGGACTCTATTTTCAGTGGACATCAGAAGCTAGGATAGTAGTACCCAGGAAGGGAAAGAAGATAATTTCAGAGAAGACTTAAGAATATTGGAAACAGGTGCAAAAGCGGGTCATTCTAATTCGCAAGCAAAGCAGAAAAAACAACAGAGTTTATACTAGGAGGACTCAAGATTTACTGAAGTAACCAACAGCTAAATTCAAAATATATTAACTTGCAGCTGTAACCTGAAGTCTATACAGCTCTTAGCATGGCTAAAGATAAAAATAATCATTGACCTGGAATGACTGCAGCCCCGAGAGAGCTACCTTTGGAAAGAAATGAATTCACAAGAACCCAACACAACAAAAATACTCTCCAGAATGTTATATACGTATGTTTTCTTCCTAATTGTATGCTGAATTAAAGCTGCTTTAGTAATTCTGTGCCTACATTACTCCCTTTTCCAGTACACTGCTTCATAGTTTTCTCCGGAGCATTTTGGAGACGAATAAATGTACCCCTGAAACTCAACTTTAAGAAGCTTTTTGTGCCAATTTTCCCATGGATATGTCATGTTGGGTTGTGTTTGTCACTATGTATCTCCTGTTGTGTTCTGTTAGCTTGAAATCACGTAACACGATGTGGCTGATTCATGACGTGACATGTCACTGCCTGGCATGTCAGCTGAAAGCCTCTGTGAACCCATGTGCTACATCTCCATACACGCACAGCTCCTAGAAATGGCCCTTTATTTTACATCTACTAGCAGGTGCTGGCACATGCACTCAGAAAAGTTTAAGAAACACTAATAACTTATGAAACACTCCGCTCGCTGATCTGGCGAACGCCCAGCTCTGACGTCAGAGTATTACCTCACTCATTCGCCAAGGATTCGGTTTTGGCCAAGTTACGCGGTGAGATAAATCATCTCAGCAAAGTGGGCTGGCAGGCGCCACAACAGACCCTGCATTACAGAGAGACGAGTCCCACCTCTCATGCCGCTAACGGAATGCGCTACAGGATTCCGTTGCCTGCGCTTGTTAACGTATCTAAGCAATGCCACAATAAAAAACTTGGTTTATACAGGACACATCATTGCTACGTGCCAGTGCTCCCCTGGAAAGACAAATTTCTAGTCATTGCCACTGCTGATGCCCTGATGTCCAGTGTCATTCCTTCTCCCCTGCTAGTTAACAATTTTTTTTTTTTCTTCCTGAGATACATACATAGACTTTATACACCTTTAATTTATGCATCCCTCTGCATTCAGGTTACAGTAGTATCGGAAGGAATTACCAGGTGCACCTTCAGGAGAGTCGAAGCCCTCTTTGTATTCACATGTTCTCAGCTAAAACACTGAATGCAGGTAAGTCAGACTGATTTCCACCCATACAAAGTTATAACTGGTAAACATAACTATAGAATGAAAACCAGAAGTCTTACATAAAAGCAATTGTATTTTTATTCAGCTCTTCAGAGAGTTTTAAGATTAACTACACGGGTTCATTAAGCCTTTTCCTTAAAGGCTATCCAAATAATGCTGCCCATTTTAAAATAGGTAAGCTAGCTAGGTAAAAAAACCCAAAACAAACCAACCACAGATCACAAACCCTGTAGTGTATCTTTGGAAGAAAATGCCTTGTAATGCACGTAAGAGCTTGAATATTTGTATTTCAATTCCTTAAATATCTCAAAGTCGACATTTCTTAAGAAATGGCACTCAGAACTTTTAAGTCAGTTACGTCTCACTGAGGTTGAGCCTGACTGGAATGGTACATTGCTGCAGTCTACCAAGTTTCAATACAATAAAAATACTCATACTGAAGAGATCACCTAACAACCTGGCAATTTGGTTTCAAGTTATGGGAAGCCTCATGGTAAGAAACTGCATTCATATAATGGATTCAGAATATATCCTGCTTGGATAAAATGCCTTTTTTGGGTTAGCAAACTATGTTAACCTAAAAAATCAGCAGATAACATGGTTTGCCAATATTTTCTGGAATGCTATAATGACAGAAAAAACCCACAACTGTGGGAATAAATAGTATAGCCACAGCCCATGTTTTCAGAAACTCCTGTTCAGCTGCAGCATGTATGGAAATTTGGGCTATATGTGTATACATACATATGGGGTATTTATACTGACACTATGCACCCACATATAGATTGTCATATTGTCATGACATTACATTTATATAATGTAGTTCAGTTTACTAACATTGCCTACCCACAAGTCAGTGACGTGGAAAAGCATGCACACAGTTGAAAAAGCAACGCTAAATCACATTACAATTCAAGAAAATTCTTTAAGTAAATATTTTAGCCCATCACATTACTCGGTTCATTTTTTTTTTCTTAGAAAAGTGCTGTAAAAAGACTGATTCTAAACCCTACCCTTATGTTTAAGAAACGTATCAGGGTTGGGTGGGAGGCAATGTATTTCTTTTTACTGCAGAGATGTTCTCTAGAAACAGCCCTATACGTGCATGTGGTTCTTCGGATGATGACCTGAAGCTATCACGAGGACAAATGCCTGTTTTTATACTCTATTATTTTCATGTTCGGTGATTTATTCAAGACAAATAAGGTATCACATGACTGTGCAGAGAGAGGTCACCGTTTCTCCTTCTACAATCTCTAAGAAGAGTACGTCATATGGATTTTTAACAAGTTGGTTCTCTAACACAGCCTTTAAGAAACTCACAAACTCTGGAGGTATGCCAGATTACTTTGAGAATTTAAACTTGGAAAAAAAAATAATGCTTGTTTTAAGGAATTTAAGCCAGGCACTATTATTAACATAAATAATAATTTTATTTTGGTAATTATTACTGAGTTTTCTAAGAGGCACTTCTGTGGATAGAGCACTACCATTAAAATATGCACGAGTGTTATACATTTATGACTGTTAATTTGTTGTACTGTTATATTGGTAAAAGAAGTAAGATAAATAAAAGCAAAGTTCCCCTGACAATTCCAAGTAGATTTCTGTAAAGAACCACTCCACTGCACAAGCAATTGGGAAACTAAGGCTCTTATTACATGAGATACTACTGGCAACTGACCTGTTTTTCTTGTATAAAACCATCTGCAACTACGGGTATCTATTATATAAATTTCTCAAGGCCTTTAGGATGTTAACTTCACACATCTTTACAATAAATATTTTTATTCAAACAGGAAAAGAGCTGTAGGAATTGAATGACTGTCAATGGCAAAACCACAACTCCAAATTCCTACCCTCTCTTCTGCAACTATTTCAAGGACCACATCCCTCGTATCTGTGCCACATTATGTAAACTTTCCAGAAGTAAATGGTACAAAATGCTTATTTGTAAAGGCTGCTGCGTAGTGAGGAGGTGCATTTCAGATGACACCACCTGGCCCTGTAAGAACCTTCCTAAGGTTAAAAAAATCCTGCAGAGACCATTACAAATTTCCAAATAACTTTCCCACAGAAGTCCTAGAAACTATTTTAAATTCAATCACTGATCAGCTCCTTGATTTTTTATTAATTTTCAGACTTGTCAACAGATCTGCCTGAAAGTCAGGAACTCAATTTAATTCTGTTCAGATGAAGAGGGACGTGCCACTTAAGATCTCTTTGGGAATCATAGAATCATCAAATGTTTTGGGTTGGAAGGGACCCCTAGAGGTCATCTAGTCCAACCCCCCTGCAGGAGCAGGGACACCGCTAACCAGATCAGGCTGCTCAGAGCCCCGTCCAACCTGGCCTTGAATGCTTCCAGGGATGGGGCCTCCACTACCTCTCTGGGCAACCTGTTCCAGTGTTTCACCACCCTCAGTGTAAAGAATTCCTTCCTTATATCTAGTCTAAACCTACCCTGATTTAGTTTAAATCCATTACCCCTTGTCCTGAAAGGAAAGAGAGATGAATCCAGTCTCAGTGTCAATTTTTCACTCTAACCCAAAACAAAAGGTAACAAAAACCAAAAATCACCCTTATCAATGGGTAGTATAGATAATTGCATAGTACATGTTGTATATGTAACAGCTGAGATGTGCTCAAGCAATTGGTGTCCTTAAACCCCAACAGTTTGGACTTTTGTAAGTGCATGTTATTAAAAAAACCCAAACAAAAAAACCAACACCAACAATTAGTTCTCAAATGATGCTGTCAAATCTATTCTCAATTCCTTATCCCTCTCCAAAATACGGCTTACAGCCACATCCGTAACCATTTCCTGGCTGGCTGGCTGGCTCTAGGCACAGTTTGGGGCATTCACCACACAGCCTGTAGCTAAGGCTGCGACTCTAATGGGATCTTGGTTGTGCTTCTAGTACTTGCACGGTTTTTAACATCCTGCCACCTATTCCTGCTCAAAGCAGTTTTCCCTGTCACGGTAATCAAGATGTTTTCAGTTAACCACTGGCATGTCATCTAACCTAGTGATTTACTGATAAAATCTTTCTGATTATGGTGGGAGGTGTTAGGGTTTTTATTCTCCCAGGCCAAAGCATTAAAATAATTGCTTTCTCTCGCTCTTTGACCTACCTGTCTGCCTGAGGTTACTAGCCCTGTAAGATGGACAACCCAAGGAAACAAATACCTGCACCCCAGCCCCAGTGGTGCACAGGTCAGTGCAAGAACTCACACATTCTCCAGCAGCTGGAAGCTTTCCACCAAGCAGTATGCCAAATAATTGTTCATTGAAGGGTTGTGATGGACAGAGAGAAAATTAAGCACTGCATTTAGGTCTAGGAGTCGGGCTCTCTTAAATGGATGGCAAATGCTTTGATTTTAATTTACAAATTATTCTGATGCGGATCAGATCACGAAGCGTGCATCAGTACCCTATGAATATTAACACAGCGACTAGTGCTTATGATCGTCTTTGAATTGCAAGCCTGAAAAACTTCCGTTAACGATGGCCGTTCTTCGGGCATCTAGTGTGACAACTTACACATCCGTGATCCTGGCACCCCTTGCAGGGGGAAGGTTACCCCTCAGAAAAAGCTGACAGGCTTTGAAACAGCTGAGCGTTCTTCCAGAGTACCTAGTTCAGATGTTTGCTGCACTCCCTTCAAACGTATATTAAAAAAAAGCCCATCACCTGAAGAGCATCGAAACCCTAAGCAATATAGCTCCTGGAAACCCACAGATTTAACGATGCATAGCATTAGCAGTGTAGGTAAATGGGGTATGTTTCTGAATCCTTCTGTTGTTTGAAATAAATACATCCATCAAAAAAATAAGCTAGAGGCAGATTAATGGAATAAAAGGTCCCTATGGGGTTGTACATCTTCAGGGATTAAATTCCTTAGCTTACAGAAATCGTCCCCCTTTATAAGCAGGGGACCAGCAGAAGGAACGCAACTGGTATACTTGTTCAGTGAACACTTGCAACGATTTGTAAGGACTTCACAAATGGATTAAAGAAGAACAAAAGTATCAATGAAGTCTAACCAAAATAATTTTCTCAGTTAGCCCTTTACTGAAGAATCAAACCCCAAGTTAAATGTAAAAATTTAAAGAATTTAACCTACATTAAAACTGGAAAAGAGAATAGTACTGCAAATATAGAGGGATACACTTATTCCATCTAAGACGTAAGGAAGCAAAACAGGGTTAAAAAAAAAATATTCCAGAAACTGACATCTAGTGAATAAAACCCAAAGATACGGGTAAAAGTGGAGAGGAACTGAAAAGATTCACATCTCTTTTCAACACCATAAAAGAAAGCTGTGGAGTTTGCACCCCTGTAGAACGTGAAGTCTCAAAAACAAATCCGACAGGCCTTTTAACCAAACCCACTACGAAATACATTCAAATTAAAAAAGTTAAAACATACCCAAGTATTATTCATCGTATTATGCAAACATCTAAAATGCAAAATTTGGCTCGGCACGTCGGACAAGGCACTTGGCTTGACAGCCAGGTCTCTGGGTGCTGCTGATCCTGTCGGCTGGCAAACCATTTGCCCATGCAGGTGAGGCACCACATGGGACGACAGTAGCATTGCTGGCATTCCCCTTCGCTTGGCTCCTGGCAGTTCTTGATGAGCTTGATGTTAGCGATAGTCTGCATACACCCTATGCACGGCTCCAGCTCCTAAAGGAGGAGAAAAACATCAAAATTATGAGCTGCACAGAATGGTTT